GTGTGGTGGCACCTGCTCGAACGGGGAGTCGCTTGCAGTCATCTGCGGGCTCATCCTTTTGACTGAGCTGCCTGTAAGCAGGCTGTCTGGTGGGGTCATGCCTCTGTGTCACGTGCCCGTGTCTTTCGCAGTGCGTCGGCCCTCCTGGGCTGCCTGGCACGTGCTGACAAGCATCTGTCCTGGAGCGACGGGCATGGGTGCATGAAAGGAAGGCTTGCAACCTGTTTGCATGGCCCTGAGCGAGGGCCTGAATCGGAGGCAGGCCGGGCGAGCCTGGGCAGCAGTTCCCAGTGTATGATCTGCGGTAACGGGCTTTTGATCGTGCCGGTGAAGGGCAACAAGGTGCGGGCAGGGTCATCGCCATTGAAATTGGCGCTGCACAAGGTGTCGGGGCCTGGGCCCCCTGGGCTAGGGTAAGGGAAGGTGCTGGGAGGTGGCGGGACAGTGTAGCGTGGCCTCGCCAGCAGAGCCCTCCAGCCTTTCTGGCTGTGGGGAGAGGAGCAGGAGGCCTGTGGGCCACTGCAAAGCAACCCCAGTGAAGTGTGCTGGTGCTGACTGGAGCAGGGTGGAGTGGGAGCTGTGGCACGGGTGCGGCCCGACCGTGCTGCTTGGAAACGTCAAGTTGGATGGGGAGGGGAGGGGGGAATTGGGGGGCTCCCACGGAGACTGGTTTGCAGCTGGGGGCAGCTCTGAGGGCAGGGTGGTGCAGGGCCCGGTGAGGGGAGAAGAGCCGAGCGGAGTCCCTGGGAGGAGCTGGGGGTGCTCTGGGTCCGAATACAAGGGGGTCGAGGGGAAAGGGACTTATCGGTGGGGGTCTACCACACACCACCCAACCCAGGGGAAGAGCCAGACTGGGAATTCTTCAGTCAGCTCACAGAGGCAGTTAGGTCAAGGGACGTGGTCATTGTGGGCGACCTTAATTTTCCAGACATCTGCTGGGAAGAGCAGTCAGCCAGGTCTGTCCGCTCACGTAGGTTCCCGGCCAAGATACGGGACCTCCGTCTAACCCGGGAGGTGCACAGCCCCACCAGGGTAGACACCTTGTTGGACCTGGCACTGCCCACAGGTGATGACCCAGTGAGGGGGCTGCGGGTGCTTGACCGCCTGGGCCATAGCGATCATCGCCTGCTGGGATTCACCCTCCAGCGCAGCAGCCCTGGACTTCAGGAGGGCGGACTGAGCGAGGTAAGGAGACTAGTTGGGGAGGCACCGAGGTCCCGGAGGGGAGAGGAGTCAGGCGCCCGAGACGAGCGGTTGTTCTTTAAGGACGCGATCCTCTGAGCCGAAAGGGAGGTAATCCCAACGCGGATCAAAGGGGGAAGAGGGTGCAAAAGCCCCGGTGGCTCAGCAAAAGCATCTGGGAATGTCTCCTAGCTAAAAGGGGCCCAATGGCAGGGAGGGGCCGTCACCGGGAAGGACTGTCCCTCAGTCGCTCGGGACTGCAGGGGGGCAGCCAGAAAGGCCAAGGTGGAGACGGAACTGGGACTAGCGACCCGGATCAAGGACAACGAGAAGTCCTGTTTTAAATACATAGGGGGCAAAAAGAAGGTACCAGGTAACATGGGGCCCCTGCAAGACACGCTAGGAAATCTGGTCGTCGCACCTGATGACAAAGCTAACCTATGTAACAATTTCTTTGCCTCCATTTTTCTGAGCAGGGACCAGGTCACCCCCACACTCCCCCCTCCAGGCCCCAGGGGAGGTGCGCCCAGGCTTGGCAAGGACCTAGTCAGGGAACTTGTGGTGGGGACTGGACACGTTCAAATCAGCCAGTCCTGACGATCTCCACCCCAGGCTGCTGAGGGAATTAGCAGAGGACATTGTGGGACCCCTGGCACGGCTGTACAAGCACTTGTGGTGCTGTGGCATGGTGCCGGAGGACTGGAAGAGGGCCAACGTGGTTCCCATTTTTAAGAAAGGAAGGAAGGAGGACCCAGGCAACTCTAGGCCAGTCAGTCTGACCTTGGTCCCAGGGAAGCTTTGTGAGAGAGCGATTGTGGCGCATGTGCGCGAGGGGCCAGTGGGGGAGATTATGCTCAGGGGCAACCAACACGGGTTCCTTCGAGGCAGGTCCTGTCAGACCAACCTGGTGGCCTTTTATGACCAGGTCACCGAATCCGTGGATGCAGGGGTAGCAGTGGACGTAGCATTTCTGGACTTTAGGAAGGCCTTTGACCCTGTCTCTCACCCCGTTCTCATTAGAAAACTAGGGGACTGTGGCGTCGACACCCACACAGTCAGATGGGTCACTGAGCAGCCGGAGGGCCGGACCCAGAGAGCGGTGGCGCACGGTGTTATTCAACCTGGAGGGACGTGGGCAGCGGGGTCCCCTGGGGCTCGGTTCTCGGGCCCGCACCGTTCAACCTGTTTGTCAGTGACTTGGATGAGGGTGAAAAGCCCCCTGTTCAAATTTGCAGATGGCAGTAAGATGTGGGGGGACATGGGCATGCTAGAAGGGAGGAATAGGCTGCAATCGGACCTAGACATGTTACAGGGGTGGGCGGACAAGAATAGGATGGGATTCAACGCAGACAAGTGCAGGGTGCTGCACCTGGGGAGGAGGAACGGGCACCATACCTACAGGCTGGGGAACTCCCTTCTCGTCAGTGCAGAGGCAGAAAAGGATTTTGGAGTCGTGGAGGCCAAAATGAGTGTGGGCCGGCAGCGTGAGGACACGGTCAGGAAGGCTGACCGCACCTTGTCATGCACCCGCAGATGCAGGTTGAGCAGGTCCAAGGCGGAGATCCTCCCCCTCTACGTGACACCGGTCAGGCCGCAGTTGGAGTACCGCATCCAGTTCTGGGTGCTGCACTTCAGGGGAGATGTGGACAACATGGAGACGGTCTAGAGGAGGCCACTCGCATGATCAGGGGGCAGCAGGGCAGGCCCTATAAGGAGAGGCTCAGGGACCCGAACCTGTTGAGTCTCCACAAGAGAAAGCTGAGGGGGGGATCTGGTGCCTGTTTACAAAGTGGTCAGGGGAGACCAGCAGGCTTGGGGGAGTCCCTGTTCCCTGGAGCACTCCCAGGAGTGACCAGAAATAATGGTCACAAGCTGGCGAAGGGTAGATTCAGACTAGACATCCGGAGGCGCTCATTGAGTGTCAGGGTGGCTAGGATCTGGAACCAACTTCCGAGAGAAGTGGTGCTGGCTCCTACCCTGGGGGGTGTTTAAGAGGAGGCTGGATAAACACCTTGCTGGGGTCATTTGTCCCCCAGTACTCTTTCCTGCCCAGGGCAGGGGGTCGGACTCAACAATCTGCTCGTGTCCCTTCCAACCTGACCAACTCTGAAAGGTGGGAGTGTGGATGCTGTGCCCAGGCTGTGGCCCCCGGGCTTCCTGAGCAAGGGTTTGGAGGAGGCTGGGGAAATGGGTGTGGGGCTGGGAGTGGTGAGGGGTGCCCCCCCCCCTTGGGGGAGGCCTAGATAGGGGCTGGGAAACTGTGGCCTGGGCAAAAAGGCGGTGAAGGTGGGTGCACGCAGCCACTGCCCAGCCCCAGCCCAGTGGAATGGGTGCATCCTGGGGTGGTGCAGGTCTGGGTGGGGGGGGCTGGTCCTGGTGCTGCTTGATGACAGAGGCCTGTGGCGCTGACTTGGCTGCTTGCTGTGCAGGCTGTGGATTCATGGATGTTAGGGTCAGCAGGGGACCTCAGTAGATGACTGGGTCTGACCCCGTGTCTAGGCGGGAAAGTGGGCTGGGTTCAGAGCAGCCCAGCCAGGTGCCTGTGCAACCTCCTCTTGAAGTCCCCTCCCTTGGGAGCCCATTCCAGATGCTGGCCACTCTACCTAACTGTGGAGAAGTTCTTCCTAATGTGCAGTCTGCTGTCTGTTAGCTTGTGGCCATGATTTCTTGGGACCTGCAGGGGCGTCTTGGTGAGTGGAGCCTCACTGATTCCCTCGTGCGCCCCCAGGATAAATTTATATGCAGCCACAAGGTTGCCTCCCAGCCTTGTCTTGTGGAGGCTGAAGAGGTCCAGGTGCCCTTGACCCTGTGAGCAGCCCTTCTCTGGACCGTCTCCAGGTTATCCACGTTTGTCTTGGAGCATGGTGCCTCCTTGGGCCTAGGGGGCTGGGGTGCCAGTGTCCTGACCTGTCCTTGGAGGGGGCTCAGCCTCCTGGGGGGATAGTTTGTGGGATCTGGGAGTGGGCTGTCTCCACTGTGCTGGGGGGTGTGTGGGAGCCTGGTGGTCATGGTTGAGGTGCTTCAGAGCAGGGTGAGCCTTGGGCCTGTGGTGCTGCTGGGAGGGGAGCTGTGCGTGTCAAGGGCAGGGGGGAGTTGGTGTGGGGGGGCTGGCCCACAGAGGGTAGAATTGCAGTGCCCGTGGGGCGTGTGGCTGCTTGAGGCAGGTGAGGGGCTCAGGTGCCTTGGGCTGAAGCAGTTGCACCTGCTTGAGTGGCAAGTTGTTTGTGCCATTAGGCAGGCCTGTAAGTAGGCTTGTCTTGCCTTTGTGTTGTTTGATGCTGCCTTGCATGTGCTGGCAGAGGGGGGCTTGGCCCTGTGCACCAGAGCCAAGCGTGCAAAAGGGAGGCTCCTGCCTTGTTTGCACAGGCAGAGCTTGGCTCTCAGTGGAGGCCTGAACCAGAGGGCAGCAGTGCTTAGGTGGTGGGGCATGGGGGCAGAGGGCTGACTTGACTTTGGGTCATCTCCTTGTTGATGGGTGCTGCAGCCTGTTGGGGCTCAGGGAAGGGGCTGAGTGGGGTAGGCTAAGCTGTCAGCCTTGCTGGGGATTGGGGGCTGCTGCCTGAGGCCTGTCTCCAGTAGGCTGCTGGGAAGTGACCCTACAGTAGTGTGGCTAAGCTCAGTGGTTGTGGGGAGCAGATGTGCCACCAGGAGCAGGGAGCCCACTCTGACTGGTCGGGTGCTTGCAGGCCACCTCCTCCAGAGCAGGGGGCTGGGAGGCAAGTGCCTGGAAAAGCAGGCCTGTGAGCTTCCAAGGCGGGCAGGGCCAACATGTGTATGCGAGTGATTGTGCAGCAACATGTGGGCCAGAAGGCAGCCAGGGCCAAGAGTGCTTCCTCCCTTTGGCCTCCATCCACGTCTCCTCCGTCCAGGTATCCCACAGCTGGCACATTGTGGACTTGCACAGTGCTCTTGGACTCTGGGTGGTACTTGAGTGCCAGGGGCCACTTTGTGGCCAGCACTCGAGGCCTCTCCTCCCAGAGGCCAGCCTGGAGCAGCAGGCTCTCTCTGTAGCCCTGCCAGGTGAGTGGGGAGGTGGTGGTAGGGGTGGGGGGAGAGGCTCTTCAGGGCAGCCTGGGCAGCCCCACCACCCCTGCAGGCAGCTGCTGCCGAGCACCAGCAGGGCCAGGCAGAGGCAGGGCCAGGGCCAGAGCAGCCCTCTGGTAG